GGCATTTAATTTTTTACAAGTCTTCTCAAGCCACACCCCCGATTTGGGAACAATTTTTTTGTAAAAAAGTGTGGCTTATGCATTGGTAAATATGGTATTTGACTTTTAACAGTAGTTGACAACCCTAAACTCTCATTTTGATTCTTTTTTTTATTAGCTATATTTTTTTTCAACAGGCAGCACATGTTTGCTGTGAGAGCAACTCTGCTTAGTACTGAGGTCCTCAAAGCTAAGAACATTACTGTAGATGCTGCTATGCAGTTCATGAGAATGACAGGCGAGGTAGATGCCGAATGCTTATATCATTGTAGTTAACATGAGAAAATGAAAATAACACAATAATGAAAATATATAAAAATACAAATAGTACAAACATGAAAAGTGTGCAACATAAATACCACAATTTTGTGCAATTWAGAGTAACAAAAGTTTCATACTTTAACTGAATGAACTCCACAAAAAYAAGAAACTAGAGACACTGCATGTGCATTGTTATTATAGTGTATGCATATGTTAGTCCAAACACAGCCAAACACAGCTTACATTTGAATTCTTCTTTTAATAGGAATCTGATCTGCTTTGTGCTTTGCTGTTGGAGCAATCTGCACATTGTTTCCTTCATTCTAATCCCATTATGGTYAGAAAATATGCCTTTAACATGATACTAGCAGGCCATAGATTCAGCAAAGCTGCACAGGTTAGTGAGAATATCAAAAGTACTCCTATATTTACACGTACCTTCACTAAATCCTTTCTTTCAGTGAGAAGTAGATTATTTCTTTGCTGTGCATACTCATCAGAGGTGTTCCCCATGCTGGCCATGCTGTCAGTTAATATTTTTTTTATTCTTATGTCTTTGTGTTTGATGGTAGAGAAAGCATGCTTTGAGATGCTATCAACAAGCTCTTCATGTTTACCAAGGCAAATCATGGCATCTTGCTGARGATCATATTAACTTCACACTGGGACGTCAGTCATTCAACCTCAGACAGTTGGACGATGCATTAAAATCTTTCAGACAGTTACTGGTGTATGAAAGTCAGCAGCCTCCTCAACAACAAGCAGCCTATCTTAGAGAATTTTTATTTGTATTTAAGGTAACAGTTTAATAATGTGTGTTAATTATGTAYAGATACACAGATCATTATTTCTACTCTGCCATTTTCTCATATATCAATAATCCTTCATTGCAGGTCTTTTAAATTAGGTTTTGTTTTTGATGAAGGATGTCAGTGATTAGTCTTTCTTTGGGGCTTTTTTAATGTATCGAAATAATAATAATAAATATGTTTATTGCATTCCTATCGCAGTGTAACATGAGAGAAACAACTGAAATACAGGAAGCCTGCAACAATGATATAACAAATTAACATTATTACTACATTTACATTACACTTTACAGACACAAAATCATAAAATGCATTAATAAAATCATTCTTCAATACCACATTTATGCTCATTGCATGTGTTTGTATTTTATTAGCAATTGTTAGAAAACAAAGATAAAAACAAGACAAAAGAAAAAAGTCTACCATACCTACCCCTACCTGTAGTAGATTCAAATGCTACTCGAACTATACTCTCATACAGAAAGGACCTTATATCAACACCAAACACTGAAGCAACTACTCCTAACTCTCTTAACCAAGATCCTTTTGGCTTATTTGGCGAGARTGAAGGCAAGTCGTCTGCACAATCCTCACAGGTTACAGCAATAGGACTGGCATCATTTGATCACAAATATGACATTAACTTAGCACAACAATGGAGAGATTTGGAGGAAGAAATGTATGAATGTGTAAATATAACRCCAGTCCCACCATTCTTTAGAACTCATGTACAATGTTTAAGTTCTTATACAAAGAATAACTTGAAGCCTTACTGTGTAATAAATGGTACGTATTTCCAACCTCTGTATGTAGTTTAGATCAACTTATACTGTATATTCCTTCACCAATCATGATATCACTAAACCTTTAGGGCTGTTTGTCTATTGTTTTATTGCTGTTTTTTTTTTATTTTTGTTTGCTGTTTTTCTATTGCTAGAGTGTAAATACCTCATCTATATCTAACACCATGCAATTGTTTCATTGATCTACAGGGAAATGTATAGTATTGTATATATGTATATATGTGTTATTAATGGGACTAATTCTTCTTCACAGAAACTGTAGCTGTGGAAGTCATTTTTTATAATCCTTTACAAATCCCACTAAATTTGACTGATCTGATGTTGACCTGGAAATTCACTTCAGAAGATCAACAATCAACAATTATTAATGAGGTACAGTAACTTGATTGACAGCATGAAATGTATCATACAGCTCATTATTGCTTTGTCTCAGTTTGAAGCCCATGATGATGTGGTTAAGACGGAGGTCATCAGTACGTTTGAGGTTAAAGGTGGTACAAAGGAAGCTGTAAGTAYACTTTATTACATCTACTGTAGGTGGAAAGTCAAAAGTGTTCAKKTCGATATTTGATGCTAATGATGTCTACAGAGATTGCACAAGTTTGTGGTGGCCTTTAGACAATCCCCAATCTAGGTTTTCTTCATTGCAATCAGAAGGGCTTTCTTASTCAAGTGGTTTTTGTGGAAATGTTTGTTTTGTACATTTACATTAGCATCCTTTCAAGATGTCTGTTTTACACCCTGAGATAGACGGACTAAAGACACTCACTAAAAAAAGACAAACCTTCAAATTAGGTTGCAGTGGTCTAGATATAGATATTAAAATTCTAATTAAATTGTAAATAAGTCAAGTGAACCCTAAACTACAGTAGGACATTGTACTCAATATGTCAAGTAATAATAATAACCTTCAYCTCTGTATGAAGAAAAAGGTAGTAAATTATTTGTTTATGGCTTGATGCATTATGAATTTAGTTATTTACCAAGCCAGAGATAAAAAATTTAATCTTTGCAATGAATCCTGMCTGCAATTGTTTGCATAGGTCTAGATATAGTTTGTGTAGCAGAGTCCTGTGTAGTTTAGGTATTAGATTATTTGAACTAGTGGGTCTTCATTAAAATTGGTGTATTTTCTAGGCACGTCTCACCTTGACACCCTGTTGTATTGGTGAACTTCACATCAAAGGGATCAAGTACAGYCTTAGTAGTATTGCTATTGGAGGTCCTGTGGAAGATGTTCTCGACTCAAAGGAAGCCCATCCTACTGTATCTGCCGTCAGTATGTTGGGAAAACTGGATCTTGATATCTTAGGACCACGTTTAAACCACACAAAAGCTGAGAAAACAAGTGTCACACATGGTCAGGACCATCGTTTGAACTTACTTGTAGCACCACCCATGCCATTACTAGAGGTACATTTATTGTTACCTATCAAACTAAACTTACTTGTAGCACCACCCATGCCATTACTAGAGGTACATTTATTGTTACCTATCAAACTAAACTTACTTGTAGCACCACCCATGCCATTACTAGAGGTACATTTATTGTTACCTATCAAACTAAACTTACTTGTAGCACCACCCATGCCATTACTAGAGGTACATTTATTGTTACCTATCAAACTAAACTTACTTGTAGCACCACCCATGCCATTACTAGAGGTACATTTATTGTTACCTATCAAACTAAACTTACTTGTAGCACCACCCATGCCATTACTAGAGGTACATTTATTGTTACCTATCAAACTAAACTTACTTGTAGCACCACCCATGCCATTACTAGAGGTACATTTATTGTTACCTATCAAACTAAACTTACTTGTAGCACCACCCATGCCATTACTAGAGGTACATTTATTGTTACCTATCAAACTAAACTTACTTGTAGCACCACCCATGCCATTACTAGAGGTACATTTATTGTTACCTATCAAACTAAACTTACTTGTAGCACCACCCATGCCATTACTAGAGGTACATTTATTGTTACCTATCAAACTAAACTTACTTGTAGCACCACCCATGCCATTACTAGAGGTACATTTATTGTTACCTATCAAACTAAACTTACTTGTAGCACCACCCATGCCATTACTAGAGGTACATTTATTGTTACCTATCAAACTAAACTTACTTGTAGCACCACCCATGCCATTACTAGAGGTACATTTATTGTTACCTATCAAACTAAACTTACTTGTAGCACCACCCATGCCATTACTAGAGGTACATTTATTGTTACCTATCAAACTAAACTTACTTGTAGCACCACCCATGCCATTACTAGAGGTACATTTATTGTTACCTATCAAACTAAACTTACTTGTAGCACCACCCATGCCATTACTAGAGGTACATTTATTGTTACCTATCAAACTAAACTTACTTGTAGCACCACCCATGCCATTACTAGAGGTACATTTATTGTTACCTATCAAACTAAACTTACTTGTAGCACCACCCATGCCATTACTAGAGGTACATTTATTGTTACCTATCAAACTAAACTTACTTGTAGCACCACCCATGCCATTACTAGAGGTACATTTATTGTTACCTATCAAACTAAACTTACTTGTAGCACCACCCATGCCATTACTAGAGGTACATTTATTGTTACCTATCAAACTAAACTTACTTGTAGCACCACCCATGCCATTACTAGAGGTACAT